ATAGATCTTGTTATATGGACATAAATCGAGATCAAAAAATTTTTTTTTATTATTTATTTTTTTTTTTTTTTTTTTTTTTTTTGAATCTGTGACATGTTATTGTCCATGCGCATTAGGATTGAGCGGCATCGTTGCTTTGTCAAAATAATAAATGACAGATTTCTTGGGTCGTAAGTGACACATTGTGCATTTATTATGGCGGTGGTTTATCTTGTGCGATGTAACTTATATAAGCGGTAAAAGTTTTAAACGTAAATACAACCACAATGAACTGAAACATATATTTATTTTTGTTTTTCACATGAGTATGAATAAGAAGGTGTTCAGTGGCGTAAATCATTAACAATTAAGAATATGTATTAAGAATATGTATTCCAATTCAGTTGCAGCATTTTTACCTTTGAATGATTAGTAAATAAAGCCAGCTAGAAATTGAAGTTGACACGAGGTAGCGCTGCAGCAATTTTAATATCAAAACCCGGAGAGATTTATTTATTTGGTAGCTTTTGCAGAATTATCAATATTCACTATTATTTCAGTTCAATACGCGGTTAATTCACTGTTTTGTTATTGTCCTAATACCCACCAAAACAGTCAAATCTTTTCTTAAATTCCACATTGATTATGTTTATTATCAAATCACTCATATGGTTGTTAATACACGTATTGCACTTTCGATATATGGTAAGCAGAGAAAGTGGATGTCACTTACCAATAAGTTGAAGTATTCCAGTGATGCCCAGCAAACACAAGAAGAACCCACAAAACATCAGGAAATACAATTATAAGGGGTTTAAGTGACGAAGTAATCTGAATAGATCTTGTTATATGGACATAAATCAAGATCAGGAGTACTTTTGATATACCAGCTGATGCTATTTCTTTCGTGTACCTCTATATTTCAAATCAATGTCAACAAAGTGTTAGCTGCGGCTGCGTGACTAATTATAGCATTAAAACTAGTGATCCGCTCTGCTCGTTCTTACTGTTGACACTAAAAACAAAAATGGTGAATGTTCTACAAAGACCTAGAAATTTAGCGTTGAAATTGAGTTTAAACAATTCGAATAGATTATTTATTGATTTTTTTTTTTTTTTTTTTTTTTTTTTTTTTTTTTATTTTTTTTTTTTTTTTATGTGACATGTTATTGACCATGCGCATTAAGATTGAGCGGCATCGTTGCTTTGTCAAAAGGATGAATGACAGATTTCTTGGGTCGTAAGTGACACATTGTGCATTTATTTTGGCGGTGGTTTATTTTGTGCGATGTAACTTATATAAGCGGTAAAAGTTTTAAACGTAAATACAACCACAATGAACTGAAACATATATTCATTTTCGTTTTCCACATGAGTATGAATAAGAAGGTGTTCAGTGGCGTAAATCATTAACAATTAAGAATATGTATTAAGAATATGTATTCCCATTCAGTTGCAGCATTTTTACCTTTGAATGATTAGTAAATAAAGCCAGCTAGAAATTGAAGTTGACACGTGGTAGCGCTGCAGCACTTTTAATATCAAAACTCGAGGAGATTTATTTATTTAGTAGCTTTTGCAGAATTATTTAAACTGTAAAGATATTGCGTCACACTTTACTCTCGGTATCCTTATAACACTTCAATGACTGGTATTCTCTTCCTGGTGCACTCTGCTGTAGTTGTTCATATGTTTTTGGGTCTTCTGAAGCCAGCTCTTCTTTGTTACGAAAGCCTTGCTGCTTGAGAGGCTCATACAGAGAGGTCGGATTAGGCGCCTTTCTTTGAAGCTCTTGATAGTGTTGCGGCAATGAAGGTGCGTCACCTTGAATTGCGACAGAAGACCCACTCGTATGTTTCACAATTGTTGTTATTGCAACATTGTTTTTGTCTCTGTTTTCATTTATCGTTTCATAAAGCTCCTTTCCAGTATTTGGCGTTTGAGCTGTTTTTGTTGTTATGGCTTGTGAGGTGTCTTCCATTGGATGGATATTCTAAACAATACGATGCATTTGTTATTTTACAAACACAAGGAGATATATGTTGTTTTGCGATCTGTATTGCAAACATTCGTTATTATACACTAGAAATATTAAAAATAATACACAGCAAATCAGTTGATACAATATTTTGATGCTGTATCCGACTTTATCTTCGTATCCACGATAGATTTTTAAATGGGTCTATGGCTGGCAAAGTTCCGTAGCCATAGTTTTGATCGCAACAGCGTTTCAAGCAAAACAAAGGACACACGTACCTCATAAGCTTCAGGGTTCTTGTCTTGTATGCTTGATGAGTTTCTAAAGTAACAACATGAAAACAAACAATGGAAACTGTTGATGCGCAAGAACAAACAATAATATGATTAATAAGCAAGGAAATTTAGCAAATTAATAAACAAACAAATACCTTCTTCCTGCTCTTTTTTCTGGAATACAAAATGAAAAAAATAGCGTCCATCACAAATAAATAAATAAATAAATAATAAATAAAGGAAATTAGTTTATGATTTGCTGACTAACCATTGTTTAATCTTAATCTCCAAATATAGATAACCAGAAAAACTACAACCAGAATCAGGAATATGTTGACAGTAACACATGCCACGATGATTGACGTGCCTATGAAAGATAAATATATCAAGAGATATTATTATACATCTTACTAACTATCTCAATTCTACTTGGTCAAGAGCTCTGATATCGTGTGAACTCGACATGATAAATGTATTATCTGTAGGTTTTCCCACAGATAACACATTTATCATGTCAAGTTCATTCAAGGTCACGCTGTGGTAGCTTTGTTTTTATTCATTATGTGTATTTATTTCCAGAATAATGTACAAAAACAATTATTTAAGGAATCCTTAACTTATTTTTATATATCTCATGAAGATTTCTGGTAATATTTCAATTCTGAATTTAAAAATTTTCGTTTTTCACGCAACATCATGTTGTTCATAATTCTTATCTCTATTATTATATTTTCATGGTTATGTTTTTCCAGTGTACAAAATGTATAATAAAGCATTTATGGAATTCGGCTTTCGGCCTTCGGCAGATAACATAGCCTCAGCTTGATAATTTACGATATCATGCTCAACCTCATCCAATAATTGCTTATTAATGGGGTTAACTGTATTGAAATAGTATGTATAATGTTCTTTTATGGTAATAGAAGATTGCAAGTGCATGTATTCGTATTTCATGGCACACTAGAATTTATACGACTGCTTTCATGCATTCTGTTTGGCTGTATTTCCAATGCTCTGGGTAGATATGTTACATCTGCTAACAGATACTTACAAGTGCTAGCAGAATTTGATGGTTTTTTGGGAACACTTGTGCTGGGATCTGTAACGAAATATTATACTTGTTCAGCATCATAGCGGAGCACCATACTTAAGAATAAATTGTTAACCTGTCAATCCAAGTGATCAGTCAGTAATCAGTCAGCATGTTTGTATTTTTTTAAGCTAGCCCATCATTTTGTCCTGCTTCCTTTCAAACATACCATTAGAGCAGCCTAATGAACCAGGTACTATCTTGAGACTTCCAAGTCTATTGTCTTTTACTGCATCTTTAAGTGGACCGCAAATTTCATCTCCTTTTCTTGTACTCTTGAAGTAAACTACAAACTTCACAGAAATGATGGTCTCACTTTGTATTGAATTGAAGCAAAAATACAGGTTAGCAATGAACGTAGCAATTGAAGAAACACTAATAAAGCAGGGATTAAATGGTCCCTTAAAAAACCTCTCGTTTTCTCCCACCTTTTGTTGTATTGTGTATTACCTGAGACCAGTGACCTTGGCTTTCTCAAATATATGGATATTTTTATAGACAGAGTTGATCTAAGTAAAAGCAAAGAGATATCACATAAATTTTAAAAGCATTATACTTGCTTATAATGTTTGCCCGCTTTTGTTTATAAAACGGTTAACTAAGAGTTTGTTTCAAAGTTTCGAGAAATACGAGATAATGTATGTCCTTTTTTACTGCTCATTTCTCATTCACTCTCCTCTTTTGTTTGACTTTGTTGCTATATACGTTTTATACCATTTCATTTTTTTTTTTGATCAGTTAAAATAACGGGTTTCTTATATAGCGAATTTAATATTACATGGTTTCAGACGTGCAGCTTACAATCATGAGTGATTTGTTAGTAGATTGGGATAGGTGTTGAACCAGGAGACGAACCCCTACTCTTACACGAATAATTCAACAGGTTATGTACCCCATTTTAACCATTTTACTTTAGGTGTCCCCCGGGTTGGGAGACGGGGATTACGGTTTTAAGACCTTGTCCGAGAAGACTTGAAGAAGGTCTAACCACTTGCAGGTGTAATTACAAAGGCAGCACCTCCTCAGTTATTTTAAGACCCTGAGTGTTGGTCCGGCCGAGGCTTGAAGCACGACCTCCCGCACAACAGACCAACGCTCTTACCAACTGAGCTTGCCGAGTGGCGGTAACATGCAAAATACCTCTTTTAGTTCAGATAGTCGTTCGTCTTTTAACACGGCTCACCTCAGAAACAAAGTTTTTGCTGAATTGTTTGAAAGCAACAGAGTTGGGATCACTAAAGTCTCCAACAACTTTCTTAACCACATTGATTGACATGCTTCGGTTTGAAAATTCTACAAAAGTAAAAACTACTAGTAAAAATGTCACGTACTGCTGCAGCAACTCAAGATCCTTACTTCTGTCTACTTTACTGAACAATGAGAGAAAAAGAAGGGCTACTCACTAGGCACTTGTGACGTTGTCGGCCAAAGAGAGGTTTGTGAACTTGAAACTCCGGTGGTGAGTTCTCTGGTTGATGTCTTTAGAGGCTCTGTAGTTACTTTAGAGAAAGTCACGATTAACATGTATTAGATTAAATTAAAAATAAAATAACTAAAGAAAGGAAGAAAGAAAGAATGAAAGAAAGAAAGAAAACAAGGAAGGAAAGAGGGAAAGAAAATGATCTTGAAACAATAAATGAGTGGTATGATTGAACCGTGTATCGACGACTGACATTTTGCCAACCTCAAAGCTGTGGTTATTATCGTCCAATGATTATAAATAAAGCTTATTCACTGACTGTTTAAAAGTTTGCTCAACTTTTGTAACCTTGCATAATTGACCTTCATTTGTTAAGGTTCATCTGGGTAAAATTTCATAAGCTTTCTTAACTTTTGCTATATTTTATATTGTTTCGAATTCACTGTTTAGCTTATCTATAGCTTGTCGAATGCGTGTCAATAAATATAACAATTTAACCTGGTGTTTTAATGACTGTTAATTGTGCAGGTATGTCTTCGTAGTTCGATGAACCATGAGCCCTGATCTGTGCCATGTACTTATTGGTATCATTGATGTTAAGGTTTGTGATCTTGAACCAAGCCTGACCCTTTGACATATCACCGACGAAACTAACTCTTCCTGCGTAAGCAGCTTTAGAAGTTGACGTTATTGACTGTACACCAGTAACATTTCGAACTACGATCAGCACTAGCCTAAAGTTACTAGTGTTACCATCACTTATTCCCCATGTCACTTCTAGTATCCTTGTGTTGGCATACTTATTAAACATGAAGACCACTTCTTCTCCTTCTTCCATTGTCATTAATGCAGGACTTGAAGCTGTTAGTAAGGAAAAGAGAAAAAAGTTAACCTGATTATCCTATATTTCGGCTTTCTTTCAAATAGTTGTACATTTTCCTTTGTCGGTTAGAAAGATAGTCAATAAGTACGGCGCAGTCAAACAATTTCTTTTATCAATTTGTAATAACATATATCATACACATTTATATCGCTTTGTCATGCATAAGCTGTCGTAAGGAGCGCGCGCTTTCTCCGCTGGTTGTAAGTTTTTGCTGTTGTTGTTGTTGTACAAAAAAAATATGGCATCGCTTTTTAAGTATTTGTCCTGGTATTGAAGATAAATTGCGCCATCACATCGTCAAACTAGTATGCGGATCCACTTCCAATAAGAGGACAGACACATAAAAAAGTGATCTCATTTTTTTCATTGTACATAGGTCTACAAAATAGGGATAACTTATTAAGAATATATTAAAACCAACCCTCCAACCAAACAAGTAAACACACGAAGTGACAACAAAAATGAAAACATATGGCAAAGTATCTCTGAATGCCTGATATTAGTATAAATATAAGGCCAGGATTATTGAACAGAAATTAAGATTTCATGGCATTTTCTCTTTCATGGCAAAAATCAGTAAGGTCAAAAGTAAATCTGGGTAATCATATATATGCATGGAACCTTTTGCTTGGATTTTTTTTTACCTGATTTTATAATTTTTATATTAAGTGGGCTTCCTGTGGATATAATGCTACTAAACAGCAAACAAAACGACCGATGAAACGCGACCAGCACCAATTCCATTGTAGTGTATATTTATCTCTTAGTTCATTTCCTTTCTGGAGTATTTAGTTAGGAGGGTCATACGACTGCAACTTATGTAATTTATGAAGCAAATATAGTAACTTGTACTATCTACTACTTATGTTCAATGCTCTACAATTTCTTCATTACACTGCTGTTACACTCAATCAAGGTATTTCTCTTCAACTTACCAACAGGCGGAAGTAACTGTAGAATCAGTACTACAAAACTCAATGATTTAACATACATCCTGTGTGATTGCGATTATTTCCTATGGAGTTTCATGACGAGTACAACATCAATCAGTTGATATGTGAACATTATTGTACGCAATTATTTTCAATCTACTCACGCTCTCCTGCCTTTGGCTTCTGATGTGCTTAATATTTGTGATCTAACCTATTCTAAAGATTAAAAAATGTAAAAAATCATCGCGTGACTTACTTACATATTTTGCATGTCACGCTCCCCTTAATATTAATTTTTTTATTTCAGTTTTGTGGGTAAAAAAGAAGTTAGGAGCAACTTATATCGTCAAGGATAATAAACAATCATTTGAATAATCCCCAACATTGATAAAAAAGAAATAAATAGGCTTATTCAATGATCCTTTGTTTCAGATCTGCCTCTCCTTTCTTCTTCAAACGCTGATCATGTGTCAGCATATCTATGATAATCCCATGCTTTCTTTGGTCATCGAATGTCTTTCCAAAATGCCTAAGAAGATTGTCATTTTTACAAAATGAAAGCCCTAAAAATTTAGTTCTTTAACTTTTAATAATTATTGATTAAAACCAATCAACTGGATATAAAATTGATGGTGGTACGTGATAGCGTGCTGCAACAATTTTAACTATTACAACTCAATAACATATTTTTATTTTGTGGCTTATGAGAAAGTATTCAGCCTGCATAGTTAATGCATCACACTTTACTCTCGGCATCCTTATAACTCTTCAATGACTGGTATTCTCTTCCTGATGCACTCTGTTGCAGGTGTTCGTATGTTTTTGGATCTTCTGAATCCACCTCCTTTTTGTTACCAAATCCCCGCTGCTTGAGAGGCTCATACGCCGGGGTCGGATATATTGCCTTTATTTGAAGGTCTTGGTAATGTTGTGGCAATGGAGGCACGTCGCCTTGGGCGCCGACAGAAGGTCCACGCGTAGGTTTCACATTTGCTTTTATCGCAGCTGTGTCTTTATTTCTGTTTTCTTTTATCGTTTCATAAATTTCTTTTTCATTTGAAGCTTGAGCTGTTTTTGTTGTCGTTCTTTGTGAGGTGTCTTCCATTTGATGGACATTCTAAACAATTCAATGTTTTTGTCATTTTACAAAGGCTGCTAATGCGTTGCCTTTCAACAATGCAGATGGCTTCGATTCTCGGGATCGTTGTCATAAAAGCATATATATATTTTGGTTCTCTAATGTGACTCTAGGGTTTTCTCCGGGTTCTCTGTTTTTCCTCAATTGAAAATCTTTAAACCAATCTTAATTCGGTATAACGATGTTGCACTCCCCCTCCCTCCCCCCTTCCCTCTCCATTCGAAAACCGACGCACACTAGCTTTAAAACTAGGGGTTATGGTTGGAGCGTTCATTGGGCTCACGTTTAGAGGTCAGCCTTTCAAGCATATCTTAGCGCAGGCATAATATCTATGGTTACCTCATAACTTTCAAGGTCCTTGTCTTTTACGCTTGACGAACCTCTGTAGTAACGACACGAATGCAAACAATGAAAAAGTTAATATACAAGAATGGAAAAACAAACACGAATACAAGCAAACTTTAAAAAGTAAAGAAGCAAACAGTACCTGCTTTCTGCTCCTTTTTCTACAACAAATAAAACAATAATGTTATATGAATTTCTTTCGCCACCATTTTTAAAATTTGAATAAAATTAGTTATATGTTTAAATCTGATTTATGTACTAACCGGCATTTGATCTTCCTCTCCAAATATAGAAAAGCAGAACCACTACAACTAGAATTAGGAATATGATGATAGTTGTACATGCTGCGATGATTGACGTGCCTATTAATATAAAAACATCAAGATAGAAAAACTTGCCAGTTTAGTCGACCACCTTTTTTAAGCTGGGGGGTATTCAAAATGGCTCCTAATCGACACAACACAACCGGTATGGACTTGTATATATATTAAAAAGTAGAAAAGTAACCACTACGCTCAAAATTATTTTTAATATGGGATCATCCTATATACTGGTTATACAATGGTGAAGTGACTTAGAATGGAATGTTACACTGGGCACTTGTATTTTGTACATTCTGATTGCCTGTGTTTTTTAGTAGTGTGGGATAGATAGTAGGTAATAGGTCATTCATAGTCACACCATCATTTCATTTTTACTTACATGTGCAAACAGAACTTGATTGATTCTTGGGAAAACTTCTACTGGGTTCTGAAATATGTAATATTTATTTTATTTAGTAGAATAGTATACTTTTCTCTTTCAACCACTACATTCAACCAGTCAGTCACTCAGTCATCCTCCTTTCAACCTACCACTAGAGCATTCTAAGGAACCAGGTACTATCTTGAGACTTCCAAGTCTATTGTCTTTTACTGCATCTTTAAGTGGACCGCAAATTTCATCTGGTTTTATCATGTTCTTGAAGAACACAACGAACGTTACAGGAATAATGTTCTCGCTTTTAATAATATAAATAAACCAAAACTACAGGTTAGCAATGAATTGAAGAAAAACAAAGCATAAACCAAGGATGATATGTTCTTTCAAAACATCTTTCATTTTCACCGTCCTTTAGTCGTAATGTTTATTACCTGGGACGAGTTATCTTGGCTTTCTCAAATGTATGGATATTTTTATAGACAGAGTTGATCTAAATAAAAGCAAAGAGATATCACATGAATTTTAAAAGCATTATACTTGCCTATAATGTTTGCACGCTTTTGTTGATAAAACGGTTAACTAAGAGTTTGTTTCAAAGTTTCGAGAAATACGAGATAATGTATGTCCTTTTTTACTGCTCAATTCTCATTCACTCTCCTCTTTTGTTTGACTATGCCTACCTCACCCCAAAACTGAATTTCTAAAACGCAGTTTTAATTATAGAGGTGCTAAACTATGGAACTCTTTACCTAAAAAATCTCAGAGAAGCCAAATCTATTAACGACTTTAAATCCAAACTAAAAAATATTGACCTGTCTGTCAATGGTCTATAATTTTTTTCTGTGTGTATTTTATTATTTACACTGAACTATCATTTTTAAATCACGGCTCCCTTGTAAAACAAATGTGATAATTTGAAGGAATCCCGTGTATAAATAAAGAACAGTTCAGTTCTCTCTCTCTCTCTCTTAATATGTGCTTCTATGTTCTTGTGCCTTTTCCCCCCAATTTTTTTGCATTACCGAGTTTTCATATTCAATCATTTTGTGGTGAGTACCAAAATATTACTCGTAGCTCTGCCGACTGGTGCTGAGTATCCAACACGACTCACCTCAAAAAGAAATTTTTCGCTAAAAGTTTTGAAAGCGTGAGAGTTGGCATCACTGGAATTTCCATATACTTTCTTCATCACTTTAATCGTTATGCTTCGGTTTGACATTTCTTTAAAAGTGAAGATAATTAGGAACAAAAGTCACATGCTGTAGCAACTGAAGTGCTTACGATTGTCTTGTGTATAGAGCACGCCTGGAAGCGACTATGAAAAAGAGGGTTACTCACGAGGCATTTCCGATGTTGGCCGGGGTGAGGTTTGTGAGCTTGAAGCTGCAGTGGTTAGTTCTCTCGTTGATGTCTGCAGAGGCCTTGTAGTAACTGGTGAAACTGCACCAAAAATCACAAATAACAGGCTTGAACTGAATAACATTAAACAATTGATAAGAAGAGAAAGGAAGGAAGGGAAAATATTATTTAAAAACAACACACCAACCAACCAAACAAACAAACAAACTTTATGATAAAAACAAAATTATATTTTCAATTCAGTCGATTGATTCCCGGCCCTCACATGTTACTCCACTTGAGTTTGTTCATTATCGTTCCTGCCATTTAGAAATTAAAACTAACAGTTTGTTTATTGTTGTTTTATTGTTAGAAAAAAGAAAAGGATAAATAAATACCTGGTTGTATTACATTCAGTCTTATAACACTGAATTTGTAACTTGATGTTCCCTGCAAGATGATTCTTGCCGTGTACTGATTGGTATCATTGATGTTCAGGTTTGTGATCTTGAACCAAGCCTGCCCCTTTGACAGATCACCAACAAAACTAACTCTTCCGTCGTAACCAGCATTATAACGTATCTGTTCACTGAATCTGTCAACTGCTATCAGTACTAGTTTAAAGTTGCTAGTGTCACCATCTCGTATTCCCCAAACGGCTTCTGTTATGTTTGTACTGGTGTTAGTAGTAAACATGAACACCACATCTTTATTAACTTCCCTTGTTAAGCTTAGTTGATCATTTGCGTTTGCTTTAACGTAACAAATCCGATTAGAAACCAAACAGGCAAATAACTGGTATGAGCTTAGGAGATAACAGTGCATCAGTACTAGTTGCCAGCATCACCAGATCGTGATCCCCATGCAACCCGGAGGGTTCTTTCTCCGAGTTCTCCGGCTTTTCCTTCCTCCACAAAAATCGACTTCTAATTCGATCTAACAGCTGTCTTATCAATTGGGTTGCAAAACCTGTAAGGCATTAAGCCGTCCACCCAGGAGTGATAAAAGCATTATAGCTTCTAATATGCTTACATGTACACACATTTAACATAAACACCGCATCTTTTAGTGCTTCTTCTCGTTAGAGTGCAAACAATTAATCCGTGAAACACTAATTACTAAATAGTACAAAATAGTGCTAATTAAACAATAGAAAACAATGGAATTTGCCTAAAATTTTGCTATTTAGTATTACTAAAGTTTCACGGTTATATTGTTTGCCCTCTATTGGTGCAGTAGATAAGAACATCAACTGCTTTATCCTGCACCAATAAACAAACAGAAAAGAAAAGAAACAACAACAACAACAGAAGAACCGACAGGCATGACAAACAATCAAACAACAATGAAAACGTTGACAGCAAGTTATAATACAAATGTATTAAAGTACTGGTGACTGCCCGACTAAGTATGAAGTATTGGCCTTACAATCAAGAATCTTATTAGTAGAGTACTTTTCTATATTTTATTACGGCATTTTTAGTTTCATAACGAAACTTAATCAGGTCGAAAGAAATCAGTCAAAAGGAGGTCTAATTGACCTATATAAGAACAAACAATTTAGAACTCTTGATAGGAAAAACAAAAAAAGAAAACATTTATTGAATTCAACAAACGTATATCCTGGAGTCCAGATGTTATTTGTTCATTTCGGAGTTTGCTATTTAGCGTCGCTCGATAAAACCACATGAATGGATTTTCTGGAGCCAAAGGCCACAAATATGGAACCTGTGCATTTTTTCTTTAAGTGTTTTAATTGTATCTGTATTTTATTCTATTTCATTTCATTACATTATTTGGTATCCAATGGGCTCGGCCCTGTGCATAAGATATTATCAACTCGGCAAACAAAATAATGGATGTAACGCGATCAGCAAAATATCCATATATTTATATACCGTACTTTCTTTCCTTTTTGGTGGATTTAGATTTCGTAATTAGATCAATTAGACAAACAAACTATGCCATTAATTATATAAATGTAATAATATTATCGAATATTTATCGTCTAGACTTTACCGGTTGTTAAACTCACTATAGTAATCGAAATAGAAACTGCACTCAATAAATACATTTTGCTTTAACTTACCAACGGGCGGAAGTAATTGTAGAATCAGTGCTACACAGCTCAATAAAATAGCATACATTTTACGTTGTGTGGTAAAGTTAACTCATAAAAATCTCTCGAATATAAATCAGTCGTTATGTGAACGATATTGGAACCAAATAAATATATTGACGTCCGTCTGCTTTTGGCTGCTGTGTGTTTAATATTGTGGCGTAACCTTTCCTAAAGGTTAAAAATGATGTAAATGCTAAGTTGGATGACGTGCTGCAGCCAAAGTGACAATCACGTCACGCTACTACTAAAACCTGAATAAACCCTTTACATTTTACTCTGTATATTCATTGGGGTAAATGAGATAAGCAGTAAGACGAGATTAAAAGCAATGGATCGAATGTCATCCAATCATTTGCATGATCCCCAACTTTGATTAAAAATAAAAAAATAAATAAACTGAATAAATAAACCAGCTTAAGATTAAACTTATATTGCTTAAGACACTAATTCACTCTGGTGTCAAATTTCTGTCTTTGGCCTTGCTTACAGGCCTCAGAAAAGGCCTAAGTCATATTGCGGTCTGAGTAATTTTTAAAGGAACAATGAGGTTTCAAAACCGTGCCTGCACCTTAATAGTCTCGACGAATGGTGGTTGTTATTAAAGCATAGAAAAATTTTGGTCTTACAATAAATCTAGATAGAGCGGAAAAAAGGAGGGGGAGGGGGGAGGGGTTGCATACCAACGTAATTAGGCCACGAGAAACGAAGAACTGCTTATTAATTACCAAATGAATTGAAATGCTAAGAACAGTGCTAGTGAGTGTAATTATTAGTTAATCTTGGAGATTATTTAGCCAAAGCACCAGTAACTAAAGTTCAAGCATTATATGTTCAGGGTTGTATGTTGTTGTTGTTTTTATTTGGAATGAAGCTAAGTTGCTAATTTATACATCATTGCTCGATCCTGTACTGTCAAGATATTTGACTGAAGGATTGATGGTCTAGTATTTGTGCCTTCAATTTCTCCATTTTTCTGTCAAAAAAAAAAATGCTGCACAGCTTGTAACAAAAGAAAAACACACTTGAATTGCTAATATTGAAGACTTAACCAAGTTTCTTTAATACTTTGGACTCGAGATCAAACACAAAAAATATCACACTTTGCTATCTTCTTTGTTTGGGATGATTTGCAACGACTGATACTCTCTTCCTGCCACATTCTGCTCCAGTTGTTCGTATGTTCTTGGATCATCCGCCACATCAGTTCTTTGCTTAGTGTTGCGTTTATTAAGAGGCTCGTATAATGGCATCTTGGGTAGATTTGCAAGATCTTGGTAATGTTGTGGTGGTAATGAAGTTACGGAGTCTTCACTACGTGCACGGCCTGACGATTTTCGTGTAGTCATCTCATTTACAGCCAAAGCACCAACAGCAGGATGAGTGGACGTAAGGTGGGTGATAGCTCCTTCGTCTTTGTTTTCACAGATTGTTTCGTAAAGTTCTTTTTCGACATTTCTTGGCTTGACTGACTCAAGGACTCGTACATTTGAGGCGTCATCAATCGGATTAGCATCCTAAAGTAGAAAAAAAATCCTAATCTTAAGTCTCAGCTACTACAAACACACTCAGGTCTCGAACGACAAACATGCAGCTTATTAAAAAATAGTAAGATATTCCCCTCGCAACGATTTATTGCTCGAGTTAAAAAGCGCTGAGTACAAAACCATATAATAAATTTCAAAATTTCAAAATGGGCCCTTAACGATAATGGTATTCAAGTTCTACTCACGCAGGTAGCATAGCATATTACAAAAGCTAATATATTAATTAGACATAATGGTATATGCATACACTGTAGGAAGCTATTGTAATACTAGTATACAGATTATAATAAGAGATGTAATGGTACGACCTGCTGTACTTATGGGGAACAAATGGAGTTTTGGTGCTTTTTTTAATGCCAACCTCTTCCATAGTTACGTTATAAATCACCTGACAGTATGTTTACCTCGTAAGCTTCAAGGTCCTTCCCTTTAATACTTGACAAACTTCTGCATTGAGAAATAATCCAAAATAGAGTATGAAAAAACACTAAAGAACTAAACTAGAACTATATTCTATTGGATGCTAAAACACAAAAAAAAAACCTTTTTCTTCCGGATTTTTCTGGGAAATAAAAAAATTTAAAGAAAGTCTTAGTCTTTGTGTTTACCTCAAATTGAACAATTTGATGTTTTTGAGAAGGTTTAATTGTAAATCAGTGTCGATAATAAAGGATTTGTTTAGTTTCCATTTTTACATTTTCTTTTCCAAATATATTAGAGAGAATAAGAGAAAAATATCAATGCCCTAATACCGAATATCAATACCGAAGACGTGGGTTCGAATCCTGCCTAGGTCATTGATATTTTTCTCTTATTCTCTCTACTTCATTGTATACACACCGAACGCATAATTTATCACTACTTTCCAAATATAGATGACTAAGACCACGATGACCACCACAAGGATAACGATGACAGTGACACCTGTTGCGATGATTGACGTACCTACGAAAAATGATTAATACTAGGCATATTTACTGTTAGTAGTAATTATATTATAATAGTAATTATCTTATAATTTGATAATATATATAAAAAAACTGATAAACAACGTTCAATGCCATTGCTACAGGTAACTTACATGTGTCACCAGGCTGTGATTGATTCTCGGGAGTRCTGGTGCTGTGTACTGAAGCAAGACATTATGTTCTTTTAATGTAAGTGGAGGACAGAAAAAATGTGTTACTCTTGAATTCGAAAGCCAACGAACAAACCAAGGGCGCTAGGGCAAAAATTGGTGTTTTTTTTAGCCGTTAGACTCTGTTATATTGGTGTTTTTTTAACGTTAGAAACTGTTTAAACTGTTACGTATCTGTACTGCTATGTGCTGGCTTGGTTATTCTAGGGGATTTGGATTAACTTATTAACTTATTAACCGACGCGTACGCTTACGTAAGCGGTCACGAGGCAGGTATAGGATACAGTAGTTCGTTATGTACGATTGAAACTGGATTGAACCGTTGGTCACAGCAATATTTTTGGCGTGTAAAGACGGGAAAGCTAAACAAATCAAGGCAGTACAGATACGTAACAGTTTAAACAGTTTCTAACGTTTAAAAAACACCAATATAACAGAGTCTAACGGCTAAAGGAACACCAATTTTTGCCCTAGCGCCCTTGGTCTCTTTTAATATTATGCTTCGATTTTAGTTCTTTTATATTAAGTGGGCTTCCTGTGGATAAAATATTATCACAACAAACAACACAAATGATGAAGCGCGACCAGCACCTGTACACCTTTTGTAGAATATTTCATTATTTGGTGGTTTTAGTCATTAAGATCAGATCGAGATACAACCTATGCCATCAATTATGTGAATACAATAATATTATCAATTATTTATCTTTCTATAATTTACGAATTCCTACTCAAACTAATCATAATATAAACTGCACTCAATAATCAATATATATTCAACTTACCAACAGGCGGAAGTAACTGTAGAATCACTGCTGCTAGAAAGCTCAATAAAATGACATACATCTTCTTTGCTTGCAATTATTTATATGAATATTAACTCTTGAAAACCTCTGGAATATCAATTAGGCGATACGTGAACCGTTTTACGCTGATCGATAAGCAAATCTATTCACGCTCGTCTGCTTTTGGCTGCTGTGTGTTTGATGTTCAGTGTAGTGACCTTTTCTTGAGGTTAAAACTGCTGTATACTTGCGTGACGTGCTGCAGTTTACATTTGACATTTTGTCCGTCACGATCCCCTTTAAGACTAAAATTATACTTTGGTTTGGTTAGAAATATTTGTAAAAAGAAATGACTTATGTCCTGAAATATAATGACATTGTATAATCAATTGAACATATGTGTTCCCCATTACACGTGGGTAAAAAAGAAATAAATAGACTTATTTCATGATCCCTTGTTTCAGATCTGCCTCGCCTTTCTTCTTTACACGATTATCATGTGGAAGCATGTTGGATTGGTGACGAATCGAATGATGGAAATAGCATATTCTTTTCGATAATTTAGAAATCGTTTGGATATACTACGTCTAAAGTTGGCATTTTGAATTTTGAAAGATGTAATTTTTCAAAGGGTTTCATAGTTTTGTCCTGATGAAACCAAAGACTTTGTTATCCTGCTCCTCGGGGATAAGGGTTCCCCATCTCAGAGATGATGCACCCTATGGACAAGAGTAGAACTCAAGGAGAAGGACGCCACACCTGAGATAGAAGATCACACAACCCATGGAGAAGGATGAAGTTCCTGAGGGTAGGAGGACGCTCATGAAACGAAGGAGGACACAGCGGATGGATGGCACACCTTGCCTGAAAAGGAAGGATGGAAAACGCGGAGGAAAACCTTGATAATCTTGAGATCCTGAAATAGAAGCTTGGCACATCTGAGACAGAAAAATGACACACCTGAGACAGAATGGTGCGATAGAAGGATGGCAAACCCGACTTAGAAGAATGACAAACCTGAGGGATAAAGATGACACATCTGAATTACAAGGATGGCACACCTAAGGTTAATTATTGATAAGAAATAAGGAGACAAAAATACTATGCATTTAAATTTAAAATCCTAAGAAGTCCTTGAATAAGAATCTTGCTCAATTGCATTGAACTCGTTATAAATAATTTAAATTAAATTAAATAATTTTATATATGTGAGAAAAGTATTTTTTAATTCTTAAAAGTACTACATGTAATTTTATATGCTACAAAATATTGCATGCCCATAACAGTACAAGAGATTGGGCTGCCTGTGCCTTAGCGCGACTTTACTGAGCCTGTGGTTCTGCAAACAAAACATCCGTCAGACTGTGACCTCATAAACATTCATAATATTCGAGTCTTCAGTCAAAAATAGCAATGAAGTTTGAAAGCTTTTATATACTTCTGTGCTTTGTTACACCAGCAGGTAAGCTATTTAAAATCCATAACCGGTTTAAATAATTCGCCAGATATCGACGGGAGTAGTTGCTGTGATCATATGCAGTCTACGAAATTCACGATGAAAAGTTGAAAACGAGCGACGTAATACTTCCTGATACATAATTGTTTGATGAAATCACTAGGAATTTATACAAACTACTTAATATAACAATGTTAACTAGCTTTTCTTTCCAACACCGAATTTCTATTGTTGACGAAGTCATGCCAAGTCGAAATATGTCGGTCGATGTGTACACGAAGAACCAAAGATGCATCGATGGAGGTTTATTTATATATGTCGTTTATAGATCGATTCGCATTGAAATAAAAAACTGAATATTTATTGAATTGAATAAATAAAAAACTGTCATAAAGGATTCCTTCTTGTAACGCTTAAAGAGGACATCTTTTGCAGAAATCGGGTGCCTATGGTAATGTTTAAAGAAAATAATGACGCAAAAATTATGTTCGGGTTATGTATACAGCGAGTTATAGGCATTATACATGTAGCGTGTCAGGTTTTATTAATATTAATTTTGAACAGTTTTAACACATTACATTATTAGGCATTTGTTTTTATTGGTTTCGTAGGCACTGAGATTTCCAGCTCTTCATTTGCCAAGGGTTTCGGTTCTTTAGGAGTCATGGATTATGATTTGTAGATTTTCATTATCTTTTAATTTCAAAGTTTAGTTGATAGAACAGAACAGAGACTTTGCCAAAATGGCGGCCTAAAATTCGAATGAGTTAAAATTAAACTGATCACAGAAAAACCAACACCAGCACTGGAAAGAGCACCTTACCGACCCTACAAAGCTTCATTATGTTAGGTGTTTTATATGTCGAGGAAATTGTCACTCAATTTAAAGACGGTTGTATGTCTGCTGGGGCATAGCGTATAAGGAACCCCAGGCATACAAACGTCTATTAATTTGCCAATTTTCAACTTAAGTTTTCTCGGCCGATATAAAACCTGAAATAAGGAATCTTTGTATAATTTATGATATAAAGTTGCTCTTTCCAGTGATGGTAATTATTTGAAAGCGAAACGGGTGTAATTAATTGTGAAATGCTTATTTTTTTATTTTATTTTATTGTTTGTTTCACAAACGGTTTCCCTACTAGAAGAGTCTCTCCTCTTTCTCTTTCTTCTTTTTGGTGGGGAGAAGGGAGACTCTGCCGATGTAGAAACATTCCTTTGATATACCGCCGTCCACGATCGTGCACAAACGAAACCAGTTTTAAAACATGTAGTGGTCATAAGTAAACCAGCCAATCAATGGGCTAATTTTGGGTCACATGATGTTACTTGAAACCTTCTAAATCTATATTTCTCACTCCACCAAAACAAAAGGAAAATAGGAACTGCCAGCAGGAAAACAAACGGTTAGAACATCGCTCGTAATTACACTGCCGGGAATTGACTCGACGCACACGTTGAAACATGTTTGTGAAACGAACTTTAATTAAAGTATCGCAATCATCCAAAACATATCTAGGAACAGTGATTCGGCTTCTTTGTGGTTTGGTTCGTTTATTCTGCCCAATAATATACGTTACACACCGCCACTGACGTTTGAGTACTAATACTTCAATTCAGTTGAGCTATAGGAATTTGAAGATTTGGTTGTTTAATGCTTCTTCGGCTCTATCAATGGTTTTGGGTTAGAGTGCACGCACCAAAACCGTGAACATTAAATAGTAATAATTAGTACTATTTCATACAGAATCCTTTGTTTTCTATTATTCAATTATCACTATTTAGAGCTAAAAATTAGTATTTGTTTCACGGCTTTAGTGTGAACACTCCACAATGCAAATTACCTTGAAAGAGATTCGATCTCTTGTAAGCTAATTAGCATATTCTTTAAAGTTGCGCTAAGCTCGTCGTGCGACAAATTGGATAAATATACTGATAGTCTATTTCGTCTAATTGATGTTTGTTCTTCTTTCTCAGTTTCTTTTAAATTCACAAAATGGCCGAATAATCCACTGGTTGTGTATTACGATAAAAACAAAACGAATGTCGAACTACGATGGGAGTGGAACCTGGAAGGAGGAATATTTAATTTTTTAAAAATCGAGAGATATAGAAAGGACAACCCCTTGGGCACAAAGACGCAAATCGCTAAGTACTATTCGAGTGGGACTACCAACGTAGAAGAAACCAAATACAGCATCAGCGTTCAAAACAGGGCGATTGGATCTGTAGTTTTTACTATCAAAGACATCACCAATCAAGGCATAAATGAAGGCAAGGAGAATGGCGAGAAGAGTCGTGTAGACGTCATGGAAGCGAATAAAGAGTATATATATTCGATCGAGGTGGACGAACAAACATCAGGCAAAGCGTTTATAAACAGCGTCGCACTAAAAGTGCTCAGTAAGTATTTTAAACGAAAGCTACTGGTAGGTAACATATATAATGAATTCGAAGGAAACATTTTAAAACACCAATTAGGCTTTAAATAATGGTATCATTTATATAAAGCGAATATTTTTATCACGTTCGATTCTACTGTTTCTCATTAAAGAAACTTAGAAACTTTTTTTCGCCACATATCAAGCTTTACTCTATGTGTTAGTGCACAGGCGGCTCAAGCTCTTGTCCTGTGGTGTTGTATTACAGCAAGCTGGTCATTTGAACGTTGCTTATTATAAAATGCTTGCTTCTGCACTACGAACGTAAACAGAAGCCATCGGCTAATTTTTCGATAACAGGGAAAGTTTATATTCAATTTTGCAAACATGATCCTCGTGAATTTTGTTTGCCGAAACTGGACGCTGTCTACCCCGGTTAGGAAATGAAACAGGTAACCGTCATACAATTCGGGCGCAGAGCCTAAGTGGAAAGTCTGAATTGGTTACAAAGATCGGTCACAAAGACTGCACAACAGGTGCGCTAGGGTAATCATGTGTTGTCCGA